TTTTCGATGGAATTTTTCGGATTTAGTCAGGAAATTAAACCGAGCATGGCAAAAGTGGCACGCTATGCCCTGGCGCTTCCACTCAGGACAAGCAACGTGAGGAACTTTGGTGATATCAAGATCAATATAATGATTAGCGTCAAGAATGTTCTGTCGCATCTGGAGCAGTTGATTGCGCATGGCAACAAATCTGGCTTTAGCATGAAATTGCGGCAGTAAGACAGCACGAATGTGCTCTGCAGAAATGTCATGCCAAGCCTCCAGCGGCTTGGCAGTGACACACCGCACAGTCAGCATATTACTTCTATCCAATGCCATGAGCTCCCAGGGCAACAGGCCACGTTTCTGCACGATTCGACTCAGCCAAGTTCGGTCAAGATCGCCTGTCTTTAGAGACATTTGGGGAGGTCCAATGACCTGTGAAAGTTCTGCAAAACTGAAAAGATGGTATCTGAATGTCAAATTTTGCTTTATGACACTGGATGTGTAGCCAGAGCCACGATTCAAGGAATAATTTTTTATATGGAAAATTTATGTTTTAAATATGATTTTGGGATTTCTTGATTTATGACATTTTTACGGTTTGGTTTATGATTCTCTTCGATTTTATGAAAAATTTATGGTTTTTTATGAAAAACTTATGTTTTTCGTCGATTTTATGAAAATTTTATCATTTGTTATGAAAATTTTATGGTTTTGGTCAATTTCGCATCATTTTCAATTTAGAAACACACAAAACTGACCAAAACCATAAAATTTTCATAAAAAATGACAAAATTTTCATAAAATCGACGAAAAACATAAGTTTTTCATAAAAAAAAACATAAATTTTTCATAAAATCGAAGAGAATCATAAACCAAACCGTAAAAATGTCATAAATCAAGAAATCCCAAAATCATATTTAAAACATAAATTTTCCATATAAAAAATTATTTGGCAACGTGCTCTCTGTGGCTGAATCCGGGGTCATAAATTTTGCTCTGCTGGGGTTTGGGGTTTGGGGTTTGGGGTTTGGGGTTTATGGTTTAGGGCGTCTCGCCGCGCAGCGGCAGTAAGTACCATGTGTAAATGGCGCCCCTGGGTGTGTGGGGGGGCGGCATGTCAGCGAAGGCATCTGTTGTCAATGTAATCCAACAATTTCATTGGTGTGCTGGGTTCTTTCTCCCCACCCGCTGTGAGCTTTCACAGGCCACCAGCCAAACCACTGCCTTTTAGGGTTTAGGGCTGTCGCCCTCAAATCCCACCACTGCTTTCCCTACAAAGGTGTGGTGAAGGTAGCGGGGCGGGGGGAACACAGGAGGGGCCAGAAGCTGGGGACCGTTGAGCGGCCAGAGTGGAGGGGCGGCAGAATCGAATATCTCTGTGTAAATATGGGCCACTCTGGTGGCCAGGCGAGCCCTACAGGCTCTCTATTCGACCATTCTCCAATCCATTGTCCATCCAGTAAAGGTGTCCATCACTGCCGGGCATCCTCTGAGTCCAGGCACCCTCGAAAAGGGTGCCTAAGCAGGCCGGGTGGGAATTTAGGGTTTAGGGTTTGCTGTGATACGGCGTAGGCGCTGTGAAGGTTAGGTTTGGGAACAAGCTGAGGGGCGAAGAGCAGCTTTGGCCTGATTGTGGAGGGCCATCGAACACTTTTCTCCCACCCCACGCCGTCCGAGGCGGCAAAGCCACCCAAACCTATTCCTTTTGCGTTTGACCCGATTTTTGAACACCCACCCCGTGGCCTGGCCTGAGGCTGCCAGGTCCTTGGGCACGCTGCGGCGAGGGGTCCGGGACCTCCTGCACTGGGGCGCGTGGAGTACCCCTGAAAAGGCCAGCGGCCAAGGCATGTACCTTTATCAGGGACCAGTGCTGGACCCGAAGACAACGGGCCCATCGTGGGCGCTACCGACCCCCACGCTGTGGGAGGCGGGCGAGCGACCTTCGGCTTGCGTCACGGAGGTCGTTAAGCGCCGCCCCAACATAGGGGGGCGGCCTAGGCCCTGAGTTTCGGGTTGGATTATAGGGTTTCGGATTCAATTGAAATTCATAAGGGTTTAGGAATTTACGGAGGTCTTAGGGGGTTTTGGGGAGCTAGGCCAGAGTACGTTCCTAAACCCCTAAGGCCTAAAGCCCAATTCCTAAACCCTAAACCCTAGAAAAGGCTTCCATGACACCCCAGTATAGTTATGCTGGGATACACTTGGGGGCTGCCCCTACAGCCTAAGCCCCCTAACCCCGCCGCAGGCCCTCGAAACCCCCTGAACCCCACAGCCTTCATTTAAACTCTTACAGTAAAAGTGCAAGGTGTACACATAAACATGGCCATGAATACTTACCTGCGCAACACGCCCAAAAAACCCCTCTCGCGACCCGAAAACCCAAAGCTAAGAATCCTCGGGCCCTGCGGGCAACGCGTCGTTTGGGGATCTAAATCCTAAATCCTGAACAATAAATCTCGGCCACCGCGCTACATGATGTTTCTCATTGTAACACGCGAGCCACTTCCATGTGGCCTTTCTGTGTTGCGATGAAAAGTGGCGTGGCTCCATCTGCGTCGGCCAGGTCTTTCTTCGCACCAAACTTCAGCAACAAGCGTGCAACTTCCAGGTGGCCGTTCTCAGCTGCGATGAAAAGTGGTGTGGCTCCATTTGCTTTGGCCAAGTCTTTCTTCGCGCCAAACATCAGCAACATGCGTGCCACTTCCAAGTGGCCGTTCTGAGCTGCGATGAAAAGTGGCGTGGCTCCATTTGCTTTGGCCAGGTCTATCTCCGCACGAAAACCCAGCAACCAACGTGAAACTTCCCAGTGGCCGTTCTCAGCTGCGATGTAAAGTGGCGTGGCTCCACTTGCCTTTGCCAGGTCCTTGTCCGCGCCAGACTTCAGCAACAAACATGCCACCTCCAAGTGGCCGTTCTGAGCTGCGATGAAAAGTGGCGTGGCTCCATTTGCTTTGGCCAGGTCTATCTCCGCACGAATCCCCAGCAACCAACGTGAAACTTCCAAGTGGCCGTTCTCAGCTGCGATGTAAAGTGGCGTGGCTCCATTGGCTAAGGCTAGGTCCTTGTCCGCACCAAACTCCATTAACAAACGTGCCACTTCCAAATTGCCGTTCTGAGCTGCGATGTGAAGTGGCGTGGCTCCACTTGCCTTTGCCAGGTCCTTGTCCGCATCAAACTCCAGTAACAAACGTGCCACTTCCAAATGGCCGTTCTGAGCTGCGATGTGAAGTGGCGTGGCTCCACTTGCCTTTGCCAGGTCCTTGTCCGCACCAAACTCCAGCAACAAACGTGCCACTTCCAAGTGGCCGCTCTGAGCTGTGATGTAAAGTGGCGTGGCTCCAGTGGGTAAGGCTAGGTCCTTGTCCGCATCAAACTCCAGTAACAAACGTGCTACTTCCAAATGGCCGTTCCGAGCTGCGATGTGAAGTGGCGCGGCTCCACTTGCCTTTGCCAGGTCCTTGTCCGCACCACACTCCAGCAACAAACGTGCCACTTCCAATTGGCCGTTCTGAGCTGCGATGACAAGTGGAGTGGCACCATCTGCTTTGGCCAGGTCCTTGTCCGCACCAGCGTCGAGCAGCAACCTTGCGGCGACTTGTCTGCCAAACCTAGCTGCGACATGCAAGGATGTCATGCTGTGTTGCGCCGTTCGGTTTGGATCTTGGGGTCGCTGCAAGATGGCCTCTACTTGTGCTGCATCGTCTGCTTCTACTGCATGGAGCAGCCTGTCAACATCATCACCAGAGGTCTCGGCAAAGTCCAGAACTACCAGGTGCAATAGGCAGGGAGCTTTCAGAACCGCCTCTTCGGGCAAAAGTTGGCCGTCTTCTTGCAGGAGCCGCTGTCGAAACCGGGGATACCCACAGAGCCTTTGGAGATGGAGCTTTAGGGCGCGCACGCGGCCCGTAGCAGTGTCGCCGGCAATGCTCAGCAACTCCTCCGGCTCCAGGCAAGCCACCTCTTCCCCACTCATCATCTGAATCCGCAACATTGCTGCAACCGTCAAGCGTGATGTCACTCACCCTAAACCCTAAACCCTAAACCCTAAACCCTAAACCCTCAACCCTCAACCCTAAACCCTAAACCCTAAACTGAAGCGAGCTGCGGGCGCTGCGATAGCCAGCAGCGAGCGTGCAGGGGGCGACAGCCCCTGCCAGCTCCCGAGCTGTCGCGTCAGGCGCAGCGAAGGAGCTCCGTTGGCTGCACCGGCTCGGTGCCGGCGCACGCGACAGGCGTGCTAGAGCATAAGAGAAATATATGACCCTAAACCTTGGGTCGGAACGGGACCATCCTTTGAGCCTTTTTGGGCACCACCCAGACCAGTTCTGAGCCTTTTTGGGCTCGACCATTTCTGGAGCCTTTCTTGGGGTTCTCCCACTGCTCCTGGAGCCTTTCTGGCCTCCTCCCAGGGCTCCTCCCGGACCATTTCTGAGCATTTTTGGGGCTCTCCCGGACCATTTTTGAGGTTTTTCCGGACCATTTCCTCCCGCACCATTTCTGAGCCTTTTCGGGCCTGAGCCTTTTTGGGCTTTTTTGAACTTCGCCCAGCTTTCCCAGACAAGTTCGCGGCAAAAACGTCCCCAGATCCCAGGGCATAAACCTTGAACCATTTCAAACCTTTTTGGGCCTTTCTTTGCGCACACCACAACACACGCCCTGCGTGGTGGTGTGCGCGGAGCATGTGACACACCCTAAACCCTAAACCCTACACCCTACACCCTACACCCCCCACCCTACACCCTACACCCTAAACCCTACCTAAACCCTAAAAAGCCTAAACCCTAAACCCTACTATGGCAGCTACAAGAAAACTTGAGCCAACTGATTCTCACACGCGCCGCCACGGACTTCCTCCAAAGGGTTCGGAGGGGGCGAAGGGGGGGATGCAACCCGAGGTTCCCTACTACTCCCCTCTACTCCCTCTGGCTTAAACCCTAAACCCTAAACCCTAAACCCTAAACCCTAAACCCTAAACCCTAAACCCTAAACCCTAAACCCTAAACTGAGCCCCGGGCTCAGAGTCCGAGATCTTCTTCTTGTTCAACCCAAGACCGGGCCTCCACTGCTCTTGGGGTTTTAGGGGTTGTTTGGGGTTTAGGGTTTAGGGTTTAGGGTTTAGGGCTCAGGGCTTAGGGTTTAGGGTTTAGGGGTGTCAGGGTTCAGGGTTTAGGGTTTAGGGTTTAGGGCTCTTAGCATGTCACACCACATTCGCTGGAGGGGAAAGTAGCTCCTAAAGCCCCTCAACTCCCCATGCCAAACTCCCTTTCAAAGCCCATCCCAAACGTCCGAAGAACCAAGGCTCAAACGCCCGGTGACGGATCATGTTCCTGGCAGCCAGAATTTGAGAGTTTATGTGTTTGGGGCGTTCACGGGTTTGGGGTTTAGGGTTTAGGGCTTAGGGTTTAGGGTTTAGGGTTTAGGGTTTAGGGTTTAGGGTCAGTTTCCCTTCCTCAGCTTCTCTGAAGGCACTGCATCTCAGATGTTAACCTTGCCAAGTGTGCTGGAAGTCGCTGAAGTCGATGCGCCCGGAGGTGTTATCTGCAAGCCGAAAGACCTGCGCGCACAAGCCCGGACACACTTAGGGTTTAAGGTTTAGGGTTTAGGGATTCAGGTTTCAGGGTTGCTAACCCCTGTAAGCCCCTAAACCCTACACCATTAGGCCCCAAACCCTTTGAACAAAAGCCTAACCTCTGTACCCCTAAGCCCTAAACCCCGAAAACCCAAACTCAAAACCGCCTAAACCCTGGAACGGCAAACCCCGAACCCTAAAACCCCTAAACCCCCAAACCCACAAACCCTAAACCCCTAAACCCCCTAAACCCCCTAAAACCCCCTAAACCCCCCTAAACCCCCTAAACCCCCTAAACCCCCCAAAACCCCCAAAACCCCCAAAAACCCTTAAACCCTCTAATCCCCCTAAACCCCCCTGAACCCCCAAAACCCCCTAAGCCCCCTAAACCCCCTGACCCCCCTAACCCCAAACCCTACACCCCCTAAACCCTAAACCCAAAAGCTTCCGTCGGAGTTTGGCTTCGGTTTCTGGAGCGAGGACACCAACACCCCCCAGCTTGAGGTCTGGAGTTCTCAGGAAGGGTTCCGCAAACGAGTGCATGATATCCAAGGGCTCAGGGGTTAGAAGGGTTTAGGGTTTAGGGTTCAGGGTTTAGGGTTTAGGGTTTAGGGTTTAGGGTTTAGGGCTTAGGGCTTGGGGTTTAGGAACATATCCTAAGACACAAGAGTAACCTGGGACCTTTTGGTTTAAAAGGGGATTCTGCGGGAACCTCAAGCAGGGAAGCAGGGACAACAATGGGTCCTAGTATAGGGGTTTAGGGTTTAGGGTATTTAGGGTTTAGGGTTTAGGGTTTAGGGTTTAGGGTTTAGGGTTTAGGGTTTAGGGCATGGAGTGGTTTCTGAAGGGAGGGTTTCTAGGATGGGCCTTAAGCACCTCTGAAACATGTTGCTGAATATGATTCTCTAAAACCCAAATATCCCAAGGGAACAAATATCCCAAGGGCCCCCCTCAACCCTCAACCCTCAACCCTCAGCCCTAAACCCTAAACCCTAAACCCTAAACCCTAAACCCTAAACCCTTTTCCTCCCTCCACCCTGCAGAGCCCCCAGAGGCCTACCGAGATTTGGGGTTGAGGGTGCGGGGCTGATGGCCGATGTGCCTTGAACCAGTTGCTGCCGGCCTGGTACCACCTCAGGTTTCTTCCGTTTAGGTGTTTAGGGTTTAGGGTTTAGGGTTTTGGGTTTACGGTTTAGGGTTCAGGGTTTAGGGTCTAGGGTGAGCTCAACCATCTAGACCCTGATCAACCCTACGTCATGTGCGTTTGTGCCAGGCCCACCAGAGCGTGCTACGCTGAATGGCTGGGGCGATGTGGGCGGCGGAGTGGGAGCATGATGGAAGTACTTTGCGTCTTTGAAGTACCCAGATCTTCCAAAAACCCTTAATTAAGGAGTATACCCCTTAAGGACCCGATTTTTCATAGAACCCTAAACCCTAAACCCTAAACCCGAAACCCTAAAACCTAAACCCTAAACCCGAAACCCTAAACCCTAAACCCCCAGATGCAGTGTCTCGCTCTAAGGTCCCCCACTTCGCAGCAGCGCTGTTGATCGTCATGACGGCCCTCGGCCTAGGGTTTAGGGTTTAGGGTTTAGGGTTTAGGGTTTAGGGTTTAGGGTTTAGGGCTTAGGGCTTTAGGGCTTTAGGGTCGGAAGCTACCAACTCCGAAACCAAGAAGAGAAACCATCTTAACCCCTAATAAGCCTGTTGAGACCTCCAAAGCCTGTTGAAGAACAAAACCTCAAAACGCGCCCTCGGGCGCGAGCACTAGCGCACCCCAAGCCCTAACAACCCTAAACCTCATTAACCTCACCAGCCGAAAAAAAAAAACCCTGAACCCTAGTAACCTCACCAGCCGAAAAAACCCAGAACCCTAGACCCTAGACCCCAAACCCTAAGCCCCAATCCCCAACCCTCAAAAACCATCTTCGCAGCCAGGGCGGCACGTTCACGGCGTCCGGAGTCGGCCAAGTAGACACTTCAAGCCGATACCTTGCGGGGAGGGGTTTAACCCTAAACCCTAACCCCTACACCCTAAACCCTAAACCCTAAACCCTAAACCCTAAACCCTAAACCCCAAACTCTAAACCCTAAACCCCAAACCCGAAACCCTAAACCCCTACACCCTAAACCCTAAACCCGAAACCCTAAACCCTAAACCCGAAACTGTTTCGGGTGTAGGGTTTAGGCTCTTTAGGGGTGGGCATTCGTGGACTCGGAATTAAGGGGTTGAGGGTGGCGGAGGGCAGCTTGAGATTCAGGGACTGATGGTCTACGTCTCTTGCCAGTTGGTTTCCTGGTTTCTTGGCTGCACTTAGGAGTGTAGCAAAAAACTAAACTTTTAGCTGCCTGATTAAGAAAACCCAATAAACCCAAAAAGGCTAAAGATGTAAAGTTGCAGTGAAGCACCACAAAGGTTTTCGGTGGGTCTTGGGGACTGATGGGACTTCAGGGTCGGAGGTGAGGGACCCTAAACCCTAAACCCTAAACCCTAAACCCTAAACCCTAAACCCTAAACCCTAAACCCTAAACCCTAATGTTGTTCTCTTGCTTGGGGAGTTGAGGGGGCAAAGGGGTGGAAGTTAGGGGCTTTGGCGCTTTCTGCGCTTTCATTTCTATAGACCTAAGACCCCCCCCCAAGTCCTAAAGGGGCTGAGAAACCCTGGTGATGGGCGAACTTTTCGAAGTGCCCGTAAGACCTTTGGGGACTTCTTGGGGATGCTCGGAAGGGTTCGGAGAACGGACTGCGGCTCAGGGGCAGCATCGTGGACCATTCCATTGCGGAGACCTGCTGTCGTGGGCTGAATATTCAACATGGGGGGTGGGGGGGGGGGGGAGGGGGGGAAAAGATTCCTTGGCTAGTTTAGGTCAAAAGCATACAGGAACCTAAGCCTTAAACCCTAAACGCCCTAACCCCGAAGCCTAAACCCTAAACCCTCAACCCGAAACCACCTAAACCCTAAACCCTAAACACCCTAACCCCCAAAGCCTAAATCCTCAACCCAAAACCCTAAACCTTAAACCCTAAACACCCTATCCCGAAATCCTAAACCCCAAGCCCAAATCCCGAAAGCAGAGACCATGGGTGGCTGTAGCAACACCGGAGCCCCGAAAAGACTTACACGTACTCCTTCTAGGCTCCGAAGAGCACGCGGCTCTTGTGCAGTAAGGCTAGGCTGCCCAGTAACTTGGGCTTAAAAAGGGTGCCCCCTTTTTTGCTTCTAAGGGGTTTAGAAGGGAACCTAAACCCCCCCCCCAAAAAAAAAAAAAAAAAAACAACAACAAATATACTACTGGGCATCCTAGAAGGTCCTTGCGCCCAAGCCCCCCTCAAAGTCCACTGGCCACTACCCCGGAGACCTTAAGGGTCTAGGCAACATTCACCATACCCCTTGGGCATACCCTGAAAAGAAATGAAGGGGCATGGAGCGGGGAAAGTCCTTTTTTCTACTTTCTTTTTTTTGGGGTTAAGGGGTATGGGTTTTGGGGTATAGGGTATAGGGTACAGGGTTTAGGGTTTAGAGTTTAGGGTTTAGGGTATGGGTTTGGGGCTGCATTGTTCTGGGAGGAACCACAGAATCCAGTCTTGCTTCAGCACGCTCGACCGGAATAGGGCACGACGATAAACCCCAAACCCTAAGCCCTAAGCCCCAAACCCTAAACCCTAAACCCTAAACCCTAAATCCCTAAACCCCAAACCCTATAGCCCTAAACCCCAAACCCCAGAATCTTGGTAATTGCCTCACCGGAGCGATCCGCATCGGCTTCTGCGAAGAGGGCCCTGAGGTCCTTCGGAGGGGGTTTGGGGTGAGCAAGGTTTTCCGGGTCCTTGGGTTTAGGGTTTAGGGTTTAGGGTTTAGGGTTTAGGGTTTAGGGTAGAAACTACGGTGTTTTGCGGCTTTGGGGGTCTGAGAGCCGAGGAGTTTTGGCGTCGTGAGGGGGCAAAACCTCAACCCCAAATCCTGAAAAAAACCCAACTGCAGGGGTCACATAAGTGGGTCGCACCACTGCAACTGCAATAGTTTTGGGTTTTACAAGTACCCTTAAGCCCCGAACTTCCTAGGGGCTTCACTCGCGCATGGTTGGGAAGCATTAAAAATGTCACTCACTCGGCCAGAATGTTTTTATGAGAGAAGCAGAGCGGCCAGGTTGGGAAAGCAGGCTGTCTCACCAGGTCGGCTCAGTGCTGACTCGCTTAGGAATCAACGTAGATGCCAACCCCCCCCAAGAGGGAAAAGAGGGTGGGAGGGCGGGCGCCGCTGAATCTTGAACATATGGTGGAGCGGCCCTATCTGTGACATACACCTGCTCAGCAGATCACATGTCTTATGAGAGAAGCAGAGCGGCCAGGTTGGGAAAGCAGGCTGTCTCACCAGGTCGGCTCAGTGCTGACTCGCTTAGGAATCAACGTAGATGCCAACCCGGAGAACTGTCGGAAGGACGTACTGGTGAAGGAGAAAACAAACAACCATCAAACGCAAGAGACTAACTGCAGCAATCGAGCTTGGATGCCATTCATGGCTGCGTCAAAAAGAGCGCGAGACCATTGCTGTGCCCACTGGGCAGGGTACGCCTGCGCGATCCGTGTCCAAGGCACCCCAGAAGGAGAGCACCCGCAGAGCTGTTGATGCGCCCGCAGTGAGCGGCTGCAAGTACCGTCGGGCTGCTGTTTGCACCTAAGCGACGGCGCATTGGAACCATAGTGGATCGCTTCCACTGAGTTCCGTACTGGCAGTGGTCAGAGACGAACTCCTGACAAGAAGGATGCGAGCGCAAGGAGCGCAGGGGTGGCGCATAAAATAGCTTGCTGGTGACTGGGTGCTCCAAGCAACATGGGACACGGTTGCGTATACACGCATGGATCACCTCAGAACTGAATTGCATTGCGCCGTTGCCACGCTTCACAGCAGCTAATTGCTTGCCGTACAAATCAGGGATGCCGAGGATGCACTTCTTCGTGCGCACGAGTGGTGTAGTGTGGGTGATAGACCAAGTAGCACAAGGAATGCCTAACCACACCCCCAACACGGCACCGGAGGAGATCCAACCCAGTAACATGGACTGCGCGGCGGGATGCAGGACATCCTCGAGCTGACTAGCGAACCGACTGCAACTCCAAGCTTCCTCAGATGTTGACTGATGGCCTGTTTCCCAGCAAAAAGCTCTATGAACACTTGCCGGCGATGAATCTCGGCCGCACGCAACGCTTGGTGGAACTTCCGCTGAAGGCGCCGGCGAACGAGGGCGGCAGTTGCTAGCTCGGGTCTGGGAGGGGTAGAACTGCTTGGCGCACTCTCTCCAGATTGTCCAAAGAGGGCTGTTGAATGGATCTGGACAGAAGGGGCCCCAATGTGCTCAACTGCTCCACGAAGCTGGCGTACATCCTGGTTCGGGCTGGAACTTTCAGGTACTGCTGTTGCGCTACGGTGGCCTTCTCGTATCTGCGAAGGCTCGAGTCGGCCATCCAGCGCCCTCTTCTCTTGATCTCCGCGATCCCCATCCCACGCAGGCGCATGTCGCTGTGGCCCCGCCGTGGCGGTTCCCATAGAGGGTCGCCCCCAGGTGGTCCACGTTCACGACGCAGGCCGCTTGCTTGAACTGCTCGGCGAGTTGGGTGCAAGTGAAGGGAAAGAGCAATGGGAAGTTCATCCTGCTGTTCCGCAGTTGGGCGATGGCATTCGTCAGAAAGTCCATGCGGGGAGATAGGGTGATGCCCTCGTCGAAGACGTTGGTCTTGCTTGGGGCGCCACTTCCACCTTCCGACGGGGCGATGATAACACCCCACCGGCACATGTCTACTGTACCAGCTGGGGGTACCAACTGCCCTGGAGTAAGGCTCACCATCTCCCCCGCCCTCACAAAGAAGATCCCATTGCATGAGAAGTCCCAGGACCATGATGACCAGTTTCTTGGCCAGCATGGCGCCGATTATGGCGATGAAAGCGGCCCACGGCGTTGGTAGACGCATCGGTGGAGGGGCCAAATTGCGATAGCCCTCCAGCGCCTGCGTGGCCCGAGGCAGCCCCATGCAGCCGTACTTTCCGTACTCGGGGAACTTGAACTTGAAGGCGGCGAAAGCGAACTCCCCGACGCTGACGTTCTCTCCCCGGGCATAGAGCTCGTTCAGGTACGCGGTGAGCAACGCATCCCAGTTGTGGCACAGCGGCAGCGCACCACTGCGTGAATGCTGTCAACACACGCTGGCACCTTTCCTGGGTTGAGGTGCGTCTCACTTTGCGCAGCTCCAGGTGCGACTGGGCCCCTGCCAGGATGGCAGCAGTCGGGGCTGGCTCGCGCATCCGCTTTGTCGGCACCTTCCCCAGGCACGGCTCCGTCTTTGTTGCCACATGTGCTTGGGCACCCAAGTGGCTCCCGGCTGGTCGTTGCAAGGTGCGAACCTCCACGGCCATCGCTGCTGTCACTAGGTCTGCCACAACCCCTGCTGATGCCAAAAGACCTGGATGGGCGGTCAGCGCAGTTTCTTTCGCTGGGAATCCAACGGACGAGGAACTTGCAGTCTGAGGCGAGGCTCAATGCACAAAGCTGCTGAAAAGTACGGTTCGCAATGTACGAAGAGCCCCGTCCTTTGGTGAGGGCGAGGGTAAGCGACAGGTTGTTGACGAGCATCAGATGGCGTTTGCCGCAAGACCTGAGTGCAGTTTGTGGCGGGCACCACTGACGCATGCCCGACCCTCCGTTCGAAGGATGTTCTCTGCATACTCCCACCGCCCGCTGCAAACTGTGTGCCATGAACCAGGCTCGAGGATGAAAGGCTGTACTTCCTCAAACTGGGCGCTGCACACACGAGCGCACTCTTCCCGCAAATAGTGAGGCAAACGTTCCCCGGAGTCACTGAGGCCGAGCGCGTGCTCCCGTGCCTTGATGGCCCCGATGACTTTGTACCTCCAGGCTTCGCAGGTCCTGGCGGTGCGCGCGACAGCTGGGAGGGGAAGTTGGCGTTCACAAACTCCATATCCAGTATCACTGCTGTCGGTAGCGCTAACAGTCAGATCCCACTCACCTAACATGGAAGAGCTCATCAACGGCAACAGCGCAGACGCTTGCATGATCTCCTTCTTCGCTAGTTTCCAAAGTGCCGGATCAGGGCGAGTGCCCCGGCAATAGCGGTAAACATGCCCGAAAACAGAAAGACATTCTCTTCTAATCAGCATCGCGAAAGTGAAGTGCCCAACGAACTTTTCAACCACCTTTGGGAGCGGAGCACCTCGCCGCTGTGCCAGGGCGATCGAGGCCAACCGCAGCTTCCAGATCCTGCGCGGCGTAAGGGAAATACGCCCTTCCGCCCCATCGATCAGAAGGCCCAGCCCCTCGACAACAGTAGTGGCATCAGTGACGTCGTGTATGCGGAAGCCCCACTGCTCGAGAACAGACCGCATGCGATTGAAACCCTCTTGCACACTGCCCTGGTCAACCCCGCTGACAAAGAAGTTGTCCACATACTCAGCATGAACTAGCCGGCCTTCACGCACAGGTCCTGCCCAGGTCTTGTCCTCGATCCGGTCCTCATCTCGCAGGCGTGCCTCACGAGCAGCACTCTCCAGCAGATTTTGGCAGAAGTAAAGCGACCAGCACCACCCCATAGGCAGCGTGGCGTATTCAGGGCAGACGTAGTCCGACTCACTGCAAGGAAGGCAATCTGAAAAATTTGCGCAAGTGTACCGGGAGCCTCATGCAATGAAAAGCGTCAGCAACATCCCCGGCCGCAGTGTAGAGCACCTCCCCGGAGTCCATCTCCAGCGAAGTCCACGCCGCCGGCGTCGGGAGATGGGATGCCAGTGGCTTTGCAAATGCCTGGTTCGCAGCTCGGGTGTCAAGGATAAGACGATGTGAACCATTTTTCTTAAGAACAAAGAAAACACCGACAGTCGCAGCTTCCCAACCTGGCTTAAAAGACAGCATGTTACAATCAAAAAGCCGAGTCAAAAACTTGCCCATCTTCGTGGGCGAGTTGGCCAACACTGGATCTACATAAGGCCTCACCGGTTCAACCGTGCCTGTGCTCCCATCATCAGCTAAAAGCTCATTTACGTGGTCCAGCCTCAACAACTTACCAACGTCCGGAGCCAGGAGTTCCGCAATCTCTACAGGACTGCTCCCCGGCTCAGGCCAAGAGATCTTACTCTCGTCAAAGCTGGTGTGCGTGCACTCAAAATGGTCGCTCTCATAGATCGACATTGAACCGACCAAGGGCAAGCGAAGGGGCAGAAGGTCTCGCTGCCGAGGCAGCGCCATACTCAAAACTTCACCCGGAAAGGCCGGGCAACGTGCGGCCTGAAGGAGACGGCTGAGGAACACGGCCAAGGATCCCAGCCCCAAGAGCGACCCCGGGAGGGGGCCGCTACTGCTTCGTCTTCCCGGTGCGCAACAAGGCCCGTTCCTCTCGGGCCTTCCGTTGCTCCTTGTTCATCTGGGATTCCTTGCGCAACTCCTCACCTAAACACGCGTTGAGCGATGGACAGATGCAGAGATTGCCTCGAGTGGGATCAGTCCCCATGAAGAAATGACTTTCGTCCTCGATGCTGCCTGTCGAGACGGCGCCAAGGACCCGCTCTCGCCAACGGTACTGAATCATCTGCAAGCGCCTGCAAAGCAGCTCGACCGCCGCCAGCTCACCAATGTTTAGCTGATCATATTCAGTTCAAGCGTCTTGCAAATGGCCTCATGTTCCAAGACTCCGCCATCTGTAGCCTGCAACTTGCAGTTCGTTTTCCACGCCTGGTGCATCGACAAAGGTGCGCCGCCATTTGTGACCATATACCGTGCCACCCATAGCGCGGTCCGCGGGCCTTTGATAGGCCATATCTGGCCATCCAGACTCGCTGGCTTGGTCAACTCCATCCCGCAGTTCTCTGCGTCGCTTGCCATCACTGCCATACCGGACTGGAAGCGTCCGGGCGTCGTCTCCCTGGTTCGCAGCAAGTGTCCCGCCGCCACCAGCTTCAAAGGCAGGCTGCGCCTGCATTGCGGCAGGAGCCGCAACACCATACTTGCCAACCTCGTGGCTGGGGATGAGCTCAACAAACAGGATGCTGCCGTCAGTCATAGCAGCGATTCCCTTTGAGCCTGTCTGGTGTCCACTAACAACCTGCCCCATGGGGAGTAAGCTTCCTTTGGCCCTGGACCCCTCATTGGCAGCCACAACCCACGTGTATCCAGCAGCGGGGGCCAGTGATACTTGTGGCTGAGGGGCGGCTGCCAGAGGCGGAGCGACAGGGCCTCCACCAGCCACTGGTCCAGGAGCGGCGCCAGCTAGACTGTCAATCTCGGCTTGGACAGTGATGAGTTCTCCATGCTTGTCCCTCGGAGGTGTGCCAACTCACCGCCTGCAGGAGCATGCCCCACTGACCCGTTCTCGAACCGATGAACGCTTCGAGCAAGAAGGCCAGGAGGCAACTGTCGGGTGTCAGGCAACATGATCAGTCCGACCACATTGGGGGGAGCCAAGGGCTCGGCATACACATCACCGTCTGGAGTGGCGACTACGAACCACCCAACTGACCGGCTGTCGCTGTTCTGAACTGCCTTCCGAATCAAGAGCCTCTCGCGCCACTTCCTCTCGGTCTCGTACAGTACCAGGCAGTACTTGTTTTCGAGATCGAAGGCATCCAAGCAGCCATCCAAGTAGCCGGCAATAATTCCAGATCCCCGACACGATTGCCACAAAAGCTGTGCAGAGCCAAGGCAGAAGAGACTGGCTCGACGTGCACTCGCAGCTACAATGGCAGTGCTGGTCTCCAGAGGGGATCACTATGTGGGAGCTCGGCTTCAGGATATGGCTCGCAAAGAGAGTCCCGGCTACAGCACTACTGACGACGCTCAGCGTGCCAGCAAACATGATCTACTCCTTCGCCGCTGAATCTTGAACATATGGTGGAGCGGCCCTATCTGTGACATACACCTGCTCAGCAGATCACATGCAAATTTGTATTCCTGTATTGTTGAGTTTCAATACCCCTAAACATGTAAGATGTTACCTCCCCCCCCCCCCCCTATGACAAAGTTCTGAGTTTGGGGATTCTGTTCTGTGTGACCCGATCCTGGGAGTTGTCAACAGGCCCACGGCCTACTGGTTGAGGGTTGAAACTGTGGGGTTTCCGAGAGTAGGGGTACCCTGTTGGGGGTTCCGAGAATAAGGAGTATACTGTTTGGCGCTATAAGGTGCCCTTAGTGACCCTCTGTGGCCAAGCAGCCCCACAGCCCTGACTTTAAGCCCTATGCCCTCCACCCCTAAACCCTGAAAGCTAAACCCGAAACCCTAAACCCTAAACCCTAAGCCCTAAACCCGAAACGCCACAGCACTCACCAAGGCAAGCGGTCCTCACGAGGGATGCCGTGCGGGTAGTGGCCATCCTGCGCCATATAGATGCATGGATCATATATGGAGATATAAATAAAAAAAATATATATATATATATAATATGGATCTACAATATGTATATTCGCAGTTTCAACTGGGTAAGTAGCCGTATGTAGCCGGGAGCCCCCAAACAGTAGAGTGGGGGCTTGGGGCATCTGGGAGGTAAGGCTGGCAACCGAGGATCGGGAGTATTCATGATTCTCACGCATACTCAGCATACTACAACGAAATCATCTACAATCAATACCGTTGAAAAGAACCTGTTGTCTTAATGAATTAGGCTATCCTAAGCTCTACCGATTCGCCCAAAGCCGCTTGCGTGCCCCTAGCAACTCCTCTGGACGCATTGCCAGAGCCGCTTCTGCAGATTGCACGAGGAGCGAGAGGGCGGTCGGCACATTAGATTCCTTATAGGAAGGCACCTTCTTGTCCTGCTTGGCATCTGTGGGACACTTGTCCCAAAGGTCCGCATGGTTGTCTTCCATCAGGGCATAAGAGCCACCTCCTCTCCGTCTTGCAGGTTGTGTTGGGACACCGCGATTTAGGGTTTAGGGTTTAGGGTTTAGGGTTATCTTGGCTCCTGTGGTGGACGGGATGATGGAGTGGCGCGAATCAGCAGTGAAGCAGGGAGGGCACATCCGCAAAGCCCTTTTTGTGTTTTCTCAAAGTTCACACGGATTCCTTAGACCATGAAAGGGTTACAACCTTCGGATGCTTAAGAATGTGGTGGAGGCCCCAAACCCTAAACCCTGAACCCTAAACCCTGAGGGGTATGCCGTTTAGGGTTCAGGGTTTGTTCACCATACCTTGCCGGTTCTGTCCGCCCTCCAGGAGCTTTGCCCCGGGAAGGGGGTAACTAAACTTACTGGTGCTCAAGGGAGAGTGGAAGAGTGAAACCCTATAGTAGTCCCGATATAATCCTTTTAGAATAGTCCCTATATTCACTCTTCCACCCTCCCTTAAGCACCAGTAAGTAAATGGGGAGCGACAAGGTACCTTCTACTTGCCCCTTAAGGTAGTTGCATGATAGCGCATCCCTGAACCCTAAACCCCAAACCCTAATTTATAAACCCCAAACCCTAAACCCTAAACCCTAAACCCTAAACCCTAAACCCCACACCCTAAACACTACCCCCCCCCCCCCCCCCCCCCAAAAAAAAAAAAAAAAAATAAAATAAAACCGAACTGGGGGAACCCAAGGTTGGCAGTTCGCCGGTCTCCGGGTTCAGAGCTGGCGGCTTTGGGGCGTTCAGTTAGGGTTTAGGGTTTAGGGTTTAGGGTTTAGGGTTTAGGGTTTAGGGTTTAGGGTTTGGGGTTTAGGGTTTAGGGTTTAGGGTTGAGGGTTGAGGGTTGAGGGTTGAGGGTTGAGGGTTGAGGGTTGAGGGTTGAGGGTTGAGGGTTGAGGGTTGAGGGTTGAGGGTTGAGGGTTGAGCGCTGGTGGCTTTGGGGCGTTCAGGGGCTTGTCGGGGTTTTAGGGTTATACGGATTCGGGGTTTCAAGGGTTTTGAGGTTGTGGGTGTTGCGCATTTGGGAGTCTTTAGGTGTCTAGAGGGCTTAGGGCTCCCACCCACTGTCCCCCCCCCCCCCCCCCCCCCCCCCACCCCACCGCCCCCAAAGACCTCTTAAGATCATGAACCCTAAGCCCTAAACCCTAAACCCTAAACCCGCTCCATGCCTTGATGTCGCCACTCCTTGAGGAGTCCTCAGTAGTCCACTTAGCCCAGATCTTCCAACAGCCCTTAGTCAAGGAATTTAGGGTTTAGGGGTTAGGGTTTAGGGGTTAGGGTTTAGGGGTTAGGGTTTAGGGTTTAGGGTTTAGGGTTTAGGGTTTAGGGGTTAGGGGTTTGGGGTTTGGGGTCTGGGGTTTAGGCTTATACATGCGAATTTATACGAAGGATCCTTGCTATGAAACAGGGAATATTCTTTAATTAAACGGCTAATTGGAAGATCTGGGAAGCCCTAAACTCCAAATTCGTAAACCCCAAACTCCTTTCTCCAGGGTTCTGGGTTTAGCGTTCAGCATTTAGGGTTTAGGGTAGCACAGTTAGCAGATTTTTCTAAAGGTCTGCTTGGGTTGGCTAGTGTATAAGGGAACTTGGACCTAAAGCCCAAGTCATGGACTTATCAGGGATCGTATATTGTTGGCGGGGAGGGGCGGGGGATTCATTAAACTTACCAAACATCTGAACCCCCCCCCAAAACTCCACTCCCTGAGACCGGGTTCATCATGGGACCCTGTGTGTAGGGTGGCTATCGTCTAACTTATGGGCCCCGTTATCCCCTTGTAACCCTAAAAACTATGAGGAATATACTGCTTTGTCCTCGTCGCTGTCGCTTGGCCCTTGGTTCGCCATAGTTGCGTAACAACGCTGCCACATCCAAGTGGCCGTTCTGCGTTGCAACGAAAAGCGGTGTGCGTCCAAGGTCCTTGTGTGCGCCAAACTCAAGCAACAAACGTGCCACTTCCAAGTGCCCTCTCTCTGCTGCTGCCAACAGGGGCGTTTCTCCAAGTGAAGTGGCTCGGTCCTTGTCCGCTCCAAATTCCAGCAATAAACGTGCCACTTCCAAGTGTCCTAGCTGCGCTGCTGTGAACAGGGGCGTGTCTCCAAGTGAAGTGGCTCGGTCCTTGTCCGCGCCAAATTCCAGCAATAAACGTGCCACTTCCAAGTGTCCTCTCTCTGCTGCTGCGAACAGGGGCGTGTCTCCAAGTGAAGTGGCTCGGTCCTTGTCCGCGCCAGACTCCAGCAACAAGCGTGCCACATCCCAATGCCCTCCCCCTGCAGCCAGCACAAGAGGAGTTTCGCCAGTTGAAATGGCATGGTCCTTATCCGCGCCAGACTCCAGCAACAAATGTGCCACTTCCAAGTGTCCCATATAGCTGGCCATGAGAAAAGGTGTGTACCCATTTGAAGCGGCAAGGTTCATGTCGGCACCAGAATCGAGCAACAAGAGTGCCACGTCCAAGTGTCCGCCTTCTGATGCTGCGACAAGAGGTGTTGCTTGATGTTCATCGTGCTGGTCGTCCTTGTCTGCACCGGCTTCAAGCAACAAGCGCGCCAGCTCCAAATGTCCATTCAATGCGGCTAAGAAAAGAGGCCTGGATCCATCTGCCTGTGTTTGATGCACATCCGCGCGAGCCTCGAGTAGAAGTGCTGCAGCCAATCTGTTCCCAACTGCAGCAGCAATGTGTAGGGCTACTTCGCCGAATTCGTTATCTTCAGCTTGCAAATTCGGATCTTGGGGTCTTTGTAGGCACTCTTCAATCTGCCGCATGTCGTCTCCATCAATGGCAACGGCCTGGCACAACGTCTGAACCTGGTTGGGGGTAGTCTCTGCAAATTCCAAACAAACTAGCTGCAAGGACATGGTGGGCGCTGCAAGCGCGTCATCCCAGTGTATTTGCTCATCTGTTCGGAGGAGTCTTTGTCGAAAGCGGGGAACACGGCACGCAGTCTGAAGCTGCATCTTTAGAGCATGATCTAAGCCGACCCCGTGTAGTTTGCTCAAGCGCCGTAGTTCCTCCTTCTCAACGCAAGCCACCTCCTGACCTGCAAGGTTTCTGACGCGGATCATGGCTTTGGCAATCAGTCTCGTGGACGTACTTCAAAACCGTCTAAAGCAACTGAAAAGGACATGGGGTTGATCAAAATTCTGGGGCCTTTGGGGGGTTTACACTCCGGGCTGAGTGTGCAGTTAGGGTTTAGTGCCCTTATCTCATCTGAGCTGTGGTCTACGTCACAAAAGGTACCCCCAAGAGGACGCTCCTAGACTTTTGCTCTTGGGGTCTAACAAAGGCTTGGAAGGGTTCGCCATTCGGGTTTAGGGTTTGGGGTTGAGTTCATGCGTAGATATACCTGGGGTTATAAGTAGGGCAACTATGTTTATAACCCTCTTTGGGGTACTTGGAACCCTACGTAAAGCTACCCATGAACCTCCACGTAGGGGTCTGCAGGGATTTCCAGGTTCAGAGTTTCCTTCGGGTTGTTGGGCTTGCGTTACGGCTGTGTTTTTTTTTGCGATCTCCGAACCCTTGAAAGAAGGCAAGGGACCATATGAAGGGACCATGTAAGGAGCCTGAGCCTTCGGGCAGAGCCCTGCACCCTATATGCCCTAAAGTTAGAGTTTAGGGTTTAGGGTTTAGGGTTTAGGGCTTAGGGCTTAGGGCTTAGGGTTTAGGGTTTAGGGTAACTCAGCCGGTGGTGAAGGGCATGCGTCTCATCTCGCGCAGTCGCGATGTCCCCCTGAGACTAGGTAGAGTACCCGGATCTTCCAAAACCCCTTAATTAAGGAATATACCTTAATTCATAATAAGGATCCTTACCATAAATTAGGGTATATTCCTTAATTAAGGGGTTTTGGAAGATCTGAGTACGCAAAGACGTCGAAGAGGTCGGCCCTCTACCCGGACTCTACCCCGTAAACCCTAACCTCATCATACCTCTTCTACAACGTAGAGGCCTAGACCCCTAAAAATCCCTAAAAATCCCTAAAAACCCTAAAAACCCTAAAAACCCAAAAAATCCCTAAAAACCCCTAAATCCCTACACCCGAGTCCCATCAGACCTTTTCTGCAACGTGCAGCCCTGAGTCCATACTCCCCTCAGCAAAAGTGAAGATCTCTCATCAAGGGGGGGTCGGGAGACATACTAGTCGTATTCCCTTAGGGTCCCTACAGAACTATTTTTGAATAAACCCTAAACCCTAAACCCTAAACCCTAAACCCTAAACCCTAAACCCTAAACCCTAAACCCTAAACCCTAAACCCTAAACCCTAAACCCTTAACCCTTAAACCCTAAACCCTAAACCCCAAAATCCTATTCCAATTCTTAAGGCCCTTGTTGTCGGGCCCCCGGCGAGGCGATTCACAACTGACCTGCAACGGAAAAAGACTTACTGGTGCTTAAGGGATTCGGGTTTCGGGTTTAGGGTTTAGGGTTTAAGGTTTAGGGTTTAAGGTGTAGGGTTTAGGGTTTGGGGTTTAGGGTATAGGGTTTAGGGTGGTGCTTAAGGGAAAGTGGAAGAGTGAATATAGGGACTCGTATAAAGGGATTTTATAGGGACTACGATAAAGGGATTATATAGGGACTACTATAAAGGGATTATATAGGGACTATTATAAAGGGATCATATAGGGACTAGTATAAAGGGATTTTATAGGGACTACTATAGGGTTTCACTCTTCCACTCTCCCTTAAGCACCAGTGAGAAGAGGGCTCTGAGACCTAAAAGCAGTGGGATGGCTGAGCCGCTCTTGAGGGAGGGGGGGGGGGGGGGGGGGGGGGGGGGGGGGGGGGGTGGGGGGAGGGGGGGGGGGAGGGGGGAGCGGGGGGTTTAGGGTTTAAGGTTTAGGGTTTAGGGTTTTGGGTTTCGGGTTTCGGGTTTAGGGTTTAGGGTTTAGGGTTTAAGGTTTAAGGTTTAGGGTTTAGGGTTTAGGGTGTGTCAGGGGAGGGCGCGCGCTCGGGTGTGAAACACCCCGGGCCGCGCGCTCGCGTTGCCCGTCAACCCACCCCGGCCACCCAAACTATACTCTATTAGGGTTTAGGGTTTATGGAATTTACTTTCTTGTGCTCTGATGCTTGCTTTGATGTTTTTAAAGTTGCGCTGTTAGGGTTTGAGCTGGGGTTGGGGGTAGCCTCGGCCCTTTTCGGGCCTTCGGCGTGTCAGGGCCCGTAGAGGCCCTTATTTATTTGAAGGTCAGGGAAACCCTTTGTGTCTGCTCTTGGATTCCCCTTCTTTAAGGGCCTCAATTAAGCATCGATTTCACTACCAAGAAATCGCATTTTTCATTGCGGGTACGGGCATCCTGGGGTCCCCCTTCTTTTAGGGGGCCTTTTGAAGCCTTTTGAAGCATTTTGGTGGCTCTTGGGGTCTCTCGGGGCCTTGTTCGGACCTTCGGCGTGTCAGGGGCCGTAGAGGCTTTATTCATTTAAAGGTCAGGGAACTTATTAATGAGTTTTTCGCCAATGAGTATTTCAATCGCTAGGGTTTAAGCTCGGGTTCGGGGTAGCCTCGGCCCTTTTCGGGCCTTCGGCAAGTTAGGGCCCGTAGAGGCCCTTATTTGCTTGAAGGCCTTGGCAGGGTTTTGCGGTGTTAGGGTTTAAGCTGGGGTTCGGGGTAGCCTCGGCCCTTTTCGGGCCTTCGGCACGTTAGGGCCCGTACTTTCTTGTGCTCTGATGCTTGCTTTGATGTTTTTAATAGGGTTTAAGCTGGGGTTGGGGGTAGCCTCGGCCCTTTTCGGGCCTTCGGCGTGTCAGGGCCCGTAGAGGCCCTTATTTATTTGAAGGTCAGGGAAACCCTCTGTGTCTGCTCTTGGATTCCCCTTCTTTAAGGGCCTCAATTAAGCATCGATTTCACTACCAAGAAATCGCATTTTTCATTGCAGGTACGGGCATCCTGGCATCCCCCTTCTTTTAGTGGGCCTTTTGAAGTTTTTGAAGCCTTTTGGTGGCTCTTGGCGCTTGTTGGGGGCTCGTGCGATTCCCTGCAAGGGTGTTGGTGTGGGGGCCCTTGGCCCGAGAGACCCTTGGCCGAGCCCTAGTTGGGGGCCCTTTGTTTGGGGGGAGTTTTGGGCCCTTGTTGGGGTCCCTTCCAAAAGCCTGGAAGGCCCTTGGCCCTGGGCCCAATGGCCCGGGGGGCGCTTGGTCGCGGTTGGCCCGAAACGCCTTTTTTTTTTGGCGCAGGGCCTGTGGGCGCGGCTTGGCCCTGGAAGCCCTTGGCCCGGGGGGCTTGGCCGGGGGGGGCCCTTGGGCCGGGGCCCTTGGGCGGGGTGCCCGGGCCCGTGGCTCGGGGGGCCCTTGGCCTTGGCCTGGGGGGCCCTTGGCCCGGGGCCCTTGGTTGGGGGGGCCCTTGGCCCGGGGGGGCCTTGGTCCGGGAAGCGCCTTGGCCCGGGGCGCCCTTGGCCCGAGGGCCCTTGGCCGGGGGGCCCTTGGCCCGGGGGGCCCTTGGCCCGGGGGGCCCTTGGCCCGGGGGGCCCTTGGCCCGGGGGGCCCTTGGCCCAGGGGGCCCTTGGCCCGGGCCGAAAGCCAGCCTGCCTCGCCAGCCTCCTGGTCCAGGAATCCAGCTGCCAGGGGCCAGGGGGCCCCCGGCGGGGGGGGCCCGGCAAACCCTGAACCCAAATTTGGGGTTATACTTTAGCTACGCTAAAGGTGGTCTGGGTGCCGGCCATCCCTTAGCCGAGTACTGACGTTGTCGTAAAAAAGGCCGATGTCCGTTGGCCTGTCCAGGACAGACGGTGAGGCTTAACCCTCACCTTTCCGTTTCTCTTTTCGCTTGGGCGCTCGGGCTGTAAGGCCCTCGGCCGAGCGTTCGGGGTCTGTCGCTCGACGGAAGCGACCCCTCACTTAGTTTAAGGTGTAGGGTTTAGGGAGCCTAACAGAGCCTAGGGTTCAGGGTTTAGGGTTAGGATTTACGGTTTAGGGCTTTAGGGTTTAGGGGAGTATCACCCTATCAGAAACCCTTATGACCCTGAACTCGAAACCCTGGCCGTCAGGTTGTAGGGGCTTGGGATGGGCCGGACTAGGGGTTAGGGTTTCTGGGCTGAAACTCCGAAACCCGCCCAAACCCACTAAAACCTCGGAAAGCCCCAAAAAGCCTCAAATGAGGGAAAAGTCTACAACGACGAAGTCGCTGCTTCCCTAAACCCTAAACCCTAAACCCAAAAGCCTGAACCCTAAACCCTCAACCCGGATTGCAGTGGGCCCCTGTGTCTCTTTCAGGACTGGAGCCCAGGTATCTTTTTTTGTAGGCTTTAGAGTTTAGGGTTTAGGGTTTCGGGTTTCGGGTTTAGGGTTTCAAGGTTGAGGACTGGCCTTTCTACTGTTGAGGGGCTTAGGGCGTTCGGGTTTGGAGCAGGCTCTTGGAGCTCAAAAGTCCGAGGGTTCAGTTTGAGAGCTTGGGCTGTAGAACCCATCTAGGGTTTAGGGTTTAGGGTTTAGGGTTTAGGGTTTAGGGTTTAGGGTTTAGGGTTTAGGGTTTAGGGTTTAGGGTTGTTCTGGTTAAGGGCTTACCCCAAACCCTTGCATGTAAACCGTATATACCCTGAGCCTAAGCCCTAAACCCTCTAACCAGTCTTATATATCCAAAGCCCCTTAGGACCTACGCCCAGAAACCCAAACAATGAACCCCAATAACCCCCCAAAATCCTGCAACCCCTACTAAGCCCCAATCCCTAACCCCCTGAAACCCGTCTGAACAGTATTCCCAAATAATGAGCCTCTCAAACCCAATACGAGAAAACATAAAATGTGCCAAGGGCCCTAAAACCCTAAACCCCAAACGCTAAACCCCAAACCCTCAACCCGAAAGACCTAAAAACCCGAAACCTCAACACAAAATACCCAAACCCCCAAACCCCAAACCCTAAACCTTAAACCCTAAACCCTAAACCCTAAACCCTAAACCTTAACCCGAAACCCTAAACCCTCAACCCTCAAACCCTAAACCCCAAACCCCAAACCCGAAACCCCAAACCCGAAACCCCAAACCCCAAACCCCAAACCCTCAACCCTCAACCCTAAACCCTAAACCCCCCCCCAAACCCTCAACCCTCTAAACCCTAAACCCTCAACCCTAAGCCTCAGGAACTCTTCGAGCTGCGGGAAGCTGAGCCGCCCGTACCTCTGCCAGGGTTTGATTTAGGGTTTAGGGTTTAGGGTTTAGGGTTTAGGGTTTAGGGTTTAGGGTTTAGGGTTTAGGGTTTGGGGTTTGGGGTTTGGGGTTTAGGGTTTAGGGCTTGTTATATTCGAGGTGCAAAGTCCCAGGTCTCAGAGGTCCCTAGGGATAGACGACGGGGTTTAGGGTTTAGAGTTTGTTTAAGGTTTGGCAAGTGGGTACCCTATATGTTTAGCTTCAGATTTCGGAATTGGGGTTTAGGATTTTCGGTAGAGTTTGGGAGTGGGTCCAGAGTAACGGCTCGGCGCGGACGTTTTGTTGGTTAACCGGACGGTGCTGTCCACGCAGTGGAGCAAGAACATCCCAGAGACTCCAAAACCCCTTAATTAACCCTACCTTTGGAGTAGACCCTGGAAAAAAAGTATATACTTTTTCGGTATAAGTAGCTATAATAGGAACCCAGAACCAAAAAAAGTATTAAAGTACAGTACTCCAAAACCCAGTAACCCTTATATGATTTAAGGTATATTCCTTAAGTAAGGCGTCTTGGAGGCTCTGGGATGGTCTCCAGCTCGGCACGGCACCTTTTGGGGCTCAGGCGCCTTTTCACCTCGTGTGTTTGAAAAGGCAAACTGGCCCCTAAACCCTAAACCCTAAACCCTAAACCCTAAACCCTAATCCCTAAACCCTAAACCCGGAACCCGGAAACCGAACCTTTCATGGGTATCTCTGGCGACTCCTGCATCAGGAAGCATCAGTGGCAAACCCCAAAAGCTCACATGCCTGAACCCCAAGCACCGTGAAGCCTAAGCCCTAAATTCCAAGACCCTAACGCCCTGAACGCTAAGAATCCCTAAGCTTCAAGCCCTAAACCCTAAACCCTCAAACCCACCTCCGAGCCCAAACAACCCTCTACTTCCCTTATCTGCTGATCGGAATCTTCCCATATTATGGTGCCTGGGGGTCCGAGGTCGATTGTTTATCGGATGAGGAGGGATTGCTGGGAGGTATCCCCAAAGCCCCCAAATCCTACACCCTGCTAGGTCAGGGTTTAGGGTTTTAGGGTTTTAGGGTTTTAGGGTTTTAGAGTTTTAGGGTTTTAGCGTTTTAGGGTTTTAGGGTTTTAGGGTTTTAGGGTTTTAGGGTTTTAGGGTTTTAGGGTTTTAGGGTTTTAGGGTTTAGGGTTTAGTGGCTAAACCCTAAACCCCAAACCCCAAATTGGGGCCGCGGCTTCTCCACGTCTGCTTCCTTCCAGATGTACTC